GGGATCTGACTGACCTTATCAGATACAAAAGTTGTATTTCTTGTTACATAGGTCTTGCTTTATCTTGGTCTTAACCATCCAACAGAAAAGTATAAAAACGAGGTATAAAAATAAAGCCATATTAATATGCTGAGCTACAAAAGGCTCAAGTCAACAACTTCTGACATTGCCAGTCAAGTGGAAGACCCACTACTATTATGGACTACTGGACTATTTTGGAATAGTTTGCTGAGTTAACACACCTGTAATATTCAAATGATGGAACTAAACAAAAAAGGAGATACAGATGAATGTCCATTTTGTATCTGTGTATTCAAAATGGTTAGATAGATCTATAGTTACATTCTCTTAATGAATAGAGGGATTTGTTCTAATAGTGTTTGTAAATAGGATATCATGTCTGCATGTTGTACAACAAATAACCACTAGGAAGGCAGTATGCAATGTGTTAATTATTGGAACTATCCTACCAATTCGATTTGAAACTGTCTCATTGCTATTTATTTCTCAATAAAATTATGGGAAAAAAAGAAAAACAGTTGGCCAATAAATATATGGGGAAAAATGAATAAGTTTATAGATTGGACTTTTTAAATTTACATTTTGTCACCTAGGAATTGAGTTTTAGCAGGGGGCCTTCAAGTCTTTACCTTGTTTGATAATTGATGTTATAATTAATGTAAATTTAAACATAATTTACTTTCATTCAAGATGAGAAGAATTTGTCTTTAAACAGTGTAAAACTTTTGTGCACATGGTCTTCATTTTCTACCTATAATTATACAGTTCTTTACTGACAGGGAACACCCACGACATGTCTATATATAACCTTAAAATCATCTTCAGGCCACGTCTGGAGTGTATGGGTAAACACTCAAAAGGGTAAAAACCCACATGTGCATTAGCGACTTTTATTGTTTTAATCGTGGTGACTATTTTCAGTTGCTTTAAAAAGTCATAGTTAATAAATACCGGCATTTGTCAGCATTCTACAATAATAACATTTATTTTTACTGGCTATGAAAATTGCCGGGACTGCTCTAAACCAAGAGAAAACATTTCAACAGGATTTGGCTATCAGCAAATCTGTTTCAGTTTCCTGTTCTGACCTCCCTACCTGTCATCTACTTTAGTGCTCCTGCTGGCAGATTGCTCCTTTCTTTTACCACAGGAAAACTGTCCAGCCTCTTTTTCTAGCATTTTCAGGACCCGCCTGACAGGAAATTTTCTAATTGCCGGAACAGCTGGTAGGAGAAAACTTTGCAGAGGCTTGGCCTTCCCTTTCTGACTTAAGTTTTACCGTCAGAAATTCCTTTATCACCAACATGGTTTATAGCCATGTTTAAATTTTTGTCGTTTCGTGTTCGCTCTATACAGGTAAGCTTTCTTCAATTCTTTTAAAGAATAAAATGTTTTAACTGGAACTACCTATAATTATGCTAGATGGTTATTCTATTTTATATGTTAAACTTTTAAAAGTTCGAAACTACTTTTGATAGAACTTTTAAAGGACAGTATTTTTACTTATTAAAAGTAAGTCACATAGGTTTATTACACATTTCAGCTCTATGTAGTTGGTCAACTTAATTTTACTTCAGCTTTTTCATGCTGGAATAATTTTTATCTTGCCAGTGTTCATAACTTCACATAACAAAACAAATGACTTTAACTCTCAGTATTAAACCAGGATTGAAGGGAATTGCAAACTTATTAATTTTAGGAGATTATTATTATGTAAGCAATATTTTGGCAGGTTGGAGACTGTTATTTTAAGTAGCCAAGAACTTAAAAGCAGATTTCTACTGAAATTGGTTCCTGTAAAGACTTGGAAATTTTAGTGCAGCTCTATATTGAAGTAACCTTAAACAAGTAATTTTATCTGACTTAGAGTAGGCACAATTTTCCAAGAATTACTTTGTTAAAAGTGGATTTGGTGGATGATAATTTGCAGTATATTTAATCTAAAATCCTGCCAAAATCAGCTTGATATTTTGCCATGAGAGTTGTGCTATCCGACTGTACTTTAAGGAGAATTAAATTTGCCCATTGAGATTCCCACTTGGAAGAAAACTGCTTTTCAAGGTAATTACTGAGAATGTTAATCTGGATAACTAGCAATGCTGTTTTCTCAAACATACAAGACTCTTAAAGAATTTAATTAAATGAAACATGCTGAGTAAATTTATCATTCCATTGACATATGAAGTTAATTAAATTTGATCAAAGCATAATGCTAAGTAATTTTTATGCATGTTGGTAATCTAGAAAAAAAGAAAGTTAACATCTTTAGAAAGAAAAACTATATTACAGAACTATAGGTATTTATGTAGAGAGTGAGGCTTCATCTGCTTTAGTTTAGAGTTATCTTCGAAAGGGGTAAGTTGTGCAGTTTTTATTTGTAAGATCTTTTTATGTTACCACTGAAAAAATTTTACATGTCCATGCTTAGAAAAGTTTTTTTCTTGACTTTTACCAAGGAACATTCAAAAATTTTATTTCAAGCTTTAACGATGTTTTCTGACATTCAAAACAATTTAGAAAATAGAAATGCCTCAAGAACACACTTCCTGATGCAAGGGAGGGGAGGAAAAAGGAAATTATGTATACAAGCCAGGGCATAATGCCAGATGTTGAATCATTCTTTAAAATCAGTTAATATCACCAGTTTGTTTTCTAAATGTTAGTGTATTACAATATAAGGTTTTTAAAGTAATGCAACACACAGTATTAATTTGAAGTCCCTTTGTATTTGAGCATCAAGAGTATAAAGGGTAAGGAAGGGGCTGGGGAGATAACTCAGTGGAATAAGTGCTTGCCAGGCAAAGACAAGGTCCTGAGTTCTATCCCTGGTACCACTAAAAAAAAGATTATAAAAGGTGATAATTTTAAAGACTATCTAGGAATGTTAGTCCTAGTCTTTTAGTATCTGTCAGCTGTGGGTTACAAATATTTTTGTATTTTATTGAGAAACAAATATCAATGAGACAAATATCTATAAAAGATGGACATATAGAAGCATAGTACGGGACTATGATAGTTTCATGACCAGTCGCAAAATTTTGCATACAATCAGATCTTTGCTATCAAGTGAACATACACTTTGTAGAATTATTAGATGGATTTTTAAACTATGTTTTAAGAACACAAAGTAATGCTGGGCATGTTAGCACATGCCTATAATCCCCACACTTGGGAAACTGAGACAAGAGGATTATTTTAGGCCAGCCTGGGTGGCATAGTGAGTATAAGACCAGACTGGACTTTAGGAGACTGTGACTCTAGAAACAGAATGCACAGAGTAAGTTTTTATGTGTATGTGTGATAAAAATGGGCAAGTATGTGTGTTTCACTGAAAATAGAGTTATACCAAATAATATGAAAATGTGAGATTCTCAGAATAATTATATGTGCCCTACTTCATTAACAATTCTTTTTGTGATAAAATTATAACTGCTTCATTATATACTTATAGGAAAAAACAATTTTATAAACTTTCAAACTATTATATGTATTCGTGTGACATTCATTTCAGTAACAGGCAAGTTAGTGATACATGTTTGTCCCATGTGCATATTAATATATTCATGGCTTACCAGTGTCTTCAGAAACTTTGTATTCCTCTCTGTATCCATCTTATTGGATTCCAGGTATGAGCTAGAACACATTGTTGCTTTCCTGCCTGTTGCCCAAGATTGTCCAACTATTAGTGGTACGTCCTAGTTGAACTGTAGATCATTTATAAAATACTCATGTCCCCATGACGTGGACCAAACCAACATTAAGAGATTGTTTTATGGTTGGCAAAGTTCTGTAGGAGCTTCTTTTTCCTTTCACCACTCATTTGTAGAAGTGAGCACATTAGTATGTCCTAGTATAAGTTTTTGAGAAATATTTATAATCCTGTATATTGCCAAAATTCTAAAGGTATTTTAGAAAATGTAAATTGAGCTCAATTGTATGGAATACTACAGTAATAAAGATAATGAACTTTTATATTTGTATAACATTTGAATTTTTCTAATAGTACTTATGTACCTAGAAAAAGAGCATTGTATTCAACAAAACAGAAAGGATACTCTGACAGACTTATATTTCTGGTTTTGTTAGATTTTTCTCTTTATATTGTTTTTTTACTGCAAATATAATATATATCTTGATTAAATAAGGTATACCTTATTTTCTGGTCTCATTATACGTAATTAAAATCCTATGTGCACTTAAATATATTTTCTCCTCTTCTTATGCCTTCCCTCAGATATGCTGAAGTGTCTACTTATCTTTAATCTTTTTTTTTTTTTGCGGAACCGGGGATTGAACTCAGGCCCTTGTGCTTGCCAGGGATTTAATCATTTGTTAACCTGAAGGCTTTTTACTTTTTCATTTTGCAGAATAGTCATTTTTTATGTCTATTTCACCATCCAAATATTAAATCTTTTTTGATTTTGTTTTTTTAGAATTATTTCTTTCTTCTCTTTCAGAACCTAAGTTATTATTTCAAGCCATTAAAATTATAGTGTGCTTTCTTAAACAGCCTTTAGGTTAGATCTCTCCATATTTACCTATGAATATTTTTCAGGCTCTCTCCCCAGTAAACAGAGCTTTTGTATATAGCATTTGTTCTGCCTAGTACAGCCACAACATGGCATTTACTATAGTCTGTTATTTTCAGACTTCTTTGCACTGTCTGCCCTCCCTCTGAAACTATGCAGTTATTTCCAATAGAGAGACTGAAGACCTGGAAATACTCAGTGCTGACACCATGTAGCAGTTAAATTGGACTACATAATGGACTTGTATAATTCTATCTCTAGTATATAATTTAAGGGTATATTTTCTATGTTTGTGTTTCCCATCAGTTGGTAGATCAGTAAAGGGTAGTTTTTGTGTATTAATTTGAAGTTTTCTAATGTTATGCTAAATTAAGATTTACTTGATTTCTAGCAGGAAAAAGTAGTTCTGGTTGACTCAATGTTTTCTTCCCCTTACATTTACTTCAACAGGAAGAAGGCAGCATCAAAGAAATTGCAATCACACATCATGTAAAGGAAGGACATGAAAAAGCAGATCCTTCCCAGTTTGAACTTTTAAAAGTATTAGGGCAGGGATCATTTGGAAAGGTAAGTCATGAGTGTGTGCTTTTTAAAAAAGTTGTTTGTAGAAGTAGAAAGTAGAGCAGTGGTCACTAGAGGCTAGGAGTAGGGAGAAGGGGATAGAGTGAAATTATATAGATACCAAAATATATTTGGTTATATAGTAGAAATATGGTACAATGCCCTAAAAAACAGTAGGGCAACTGTAATTCACAATTTTATTATATACTTTGTTCAGAACTAGCAGGGCATGGTAGTGTATGCCTGTCATTTGGAAGGCTGAGGCAGGAGGATCATGAGTTCAAGGATAGTCTGGGCAACTTAGTAAGCTCCTGTCTCTAAATAAAAGTGTTTAAAAACTAGAGATGTAGCTCAATGGTAGGGCACTTGACTAGCATCTTTGAGCCTGAGTGGGATCCCCTAGTGACACAGGCCTGTAATCCCAGCAACTCTGGAGGCTGAGTCAGAAGGACTGGACAACTTGATGAGATCCTGACTCAAGGTAAAACATAAAAAGGGCTGGGAATATAATCTAGTGCTGAAGCACTTGCCCAACTGAGTTTAATCCCTGATAACTACAAAAGGAAAAGGAAACATATACACAAAGAAAAAACTAGAAGAGAAAAATTTCAAGGTTCCAAACATAATTATAAATGTTTAGCAAGAAAGAAATGCTAAATACTCTAATTTGATCATTACATATAGAATACCTGTATCAAATTATAATACCATAGCCAGATGTACAATTATTATATATCAAATATATGTATATGCCTGTATTTGTGTACCTTACAGAAAGAAAAGATAAAGTGTAGGTTAAAAAGTCACAAGGAACTGAAAATGGGGATAAGGAAAGTTTGATTTTTGGGATTGATGTATATTTCATATACATGGGAAGATGGACATATTTTATGAAATACCACCATCCCCTACCAGCAGTGTTTTCCATGTTGTTATATTTCTCAGCATCAGTAAGTGTGGGACATGAATAGTCATTCAAAAGTGCATTGTAAACTTCAGAAAATTTGGTGTACTTGCTTCATATTCATTTTATCTTCAAGACTACATGACCTATCTAATTGTGCTTATGAATTTATTTAAAAAATCATTTTTCTTGATATTCTCACCTCTTTTTGATTCTGTGAGGTTGGAAAGTGATGTCTTTAAAAATGAGTATATATTTTACATTCTATAGCATCTGTTTTGTTTGGTGGTGCTGTGTCATACCACTGGTCTACATGGCCAACCCTTTTCATTTTTTTATTTTCAATCAAGGTCTCAGTAAGTTGCCCAGACTGGCCTCAAACTTCCAGCTCAACTTCCAGAGTGCCTGGAATTAATAAACATGTACCACAATGTCTAGCTGTGTTCTTTAATATTAAAAATATCTACCAAAGCTACCAAGTAGTTGCTCCAGAAGATAAGACATCTTTATCAGCTTTCTTCAAATAGGCCTTGTCCCCGTGCTGCACACCTCAGGGGTACACCTCAAGGGTGCAATTTTTTCCTCCATTTTAAGAAAAACTAGTAAAATTACTGCTACTAGGTCTATCTAGACCAGTTCTCAACAAGCGGAAACTTCTGAGATTGCATTCAATTTTTACATGCAATGATCCCTTACCTCTTCTCTATGATGAAACATTTGAAGATATCATCCTTTGCAAGCTTCAAAACATTACCAGTGTGGCATTCTTGTATATTTTAGTGGGACCATTTAGCAATTCTTGGCTAATGTAGGTAGTTCCTTACAGTTGTTAATTTCTTTCAAGCCCAAAGCATACTTTTAATCCAAATACATACCAAGTAGCCAGCAAAGCATAATGGTTGCAGCTTTAGATTTTAGCTCAGCCAACCTTGGGTTTAGTTTTTTCTTCTACATACTGTGTATTCTTGAGCAAGTTATTTAACCTTTTGGGGCCCCATTTTCTTCTTCTTGCTAGACATTAAATATTGACATTCCTTCAGGCTTAATTCTAAGCTGCCATCCTTATTGATTTGCTCAGTGCCACTATCTTAATTATAACTCACATACTGCTGACATAACAGGTTTTATCTCCAGTCTGAATTGTTCCTCCAAACTCAGAACACCTAATAGAACTGTTTACTTTTCCTTCTATTTGTCCTTCTTTCTTTTACTTTCAGTGCTGGGAATCAAACCCAGGGCCCCACACCTCCTAGGCAAGTACTTGCTCTGCCATGAATTATAACGCCAGCCCTTACTTATTTTTCCATTTTGCATATCTCAAAGGCACTTTAACTTCAGTACGTTTAAGACCAAACTCATGATGTTCTTCTGTCCCCAAACCTATCTTATTTCATTTTTGTCTGTCACTGTGAATGATGTCCAGTTAAGCAAGCCAGATATCAAGCATTCTTGACATCTCTTTTAAGCTTACCCCCAACATACATGCACATGTGCAGGCACACATAGACACATCATGCACTCCCCACCTTGGTCAATCTGATCTATTATCATATTCAGTTCATTTAGTAAAGATTTCCCGTTATGACAGTCTTCTCCTTCATTGCCACCTTTCTAGCACATGCTGCCACTTTTTCTCCCTGGTATATTAAAAGAATCTCATTAAGTAGGCCTTCCAAACTTTATTCATGCCTCAATCCATCATTGGTATGACAGTTAACATGAGCTAATCATATCCTCTACCTCTTTAATAGCCCCTCTTTTATTTTATGAAGGGGAAAACTTCTTGAGATGGCAGAGGATCCCTTCAGTCTGACCCTTATGTACTTCAAAAGCATTATTTTATATGCTTTTCACTGTCTATGTTTTGGCCATATTGATCACCTATTTTTGGTGCTTATAGATTCCAGGTTCCATCCCACTAGGAAGTTACCTTGGTTACTTTTCTCATTGCTAGGACAAAATACCTGATAAAATTAAGGAAGAAAAGGTTTATTTAGCTAACAGTTTGTGGAGGTTTCAGTCCATACTCAGATGGCTCAGAAGTAGAGTGGCATATTGAAAGAGGCCAGCAGTTCATGGTGACAGAAAACAGCAAGAGCAAAAAGGGAGGAGCTGTGACAGAGAGAAAGCCTCTTTCGCTCCCTCATATTGCATTCAGGCTATCTGCCCCAGGGTAGATATAACTCTCATACCCATAACCCCAGCGTTGGCTCTTGAATTAATCACAAACTCTAGAAGCCTGTCCCATGACTGCATGAGCATTTGGGGGGCATCTAGACACAAACCATAACAAGTCTTTTTCTCTGCCCAACAAAACTTGTCCTGCTTCCACCCCTTCCCAACTGACTAGTTCCTCTTGTGCAATTGTTTGACTCTCTCCTACCCTCAAACTATATATTTCACGAGTGCAGTCGCCATGCCTCAGCATAGTGCTTAGCATATAATTATGCAAAGAATTAATAATAGTTCTGGCCTTATATACAATATTGAGAATTAAATGATCAAGGCCAAATACACAATAAAATCTGGTATTAAATTGTATTAACATACTATTTGATAAACCTGAACAAATGTATTTCTTTTTATATATTAGATTTCAGGGAACACAATATTTAAGATCCTAGGAATTAGCATGTTTCTCCCTTTATTTCTTTTAAAATTTAAATACCTATTAAACACCTGTTGTTTGTAAATAGAAAACATTAAAAATAGGCTGTCTCCTTTATTACTCATCCTAAAAAGCCAGTTTAAGCCAAAGTAACAGGAATGACCTGTCAGAGCCTAAAATAGCTTCATGAAAGTGTCAGAATTGCTGTAGTGGAGGAAGATCAGATAGCAGCTGGAGCTGCTACCGCTTCTGCTGAGCATAGTTGGCCACTGGCCAAAGGGAAAAGATACAGAATGCTCTGAACAGAAGCCCAGGACTGGGTGACTGACCTAGATCTTGTCCTAATACCTCCACTGTGACACCAGGCAAATTATTTAACTTCTCTAAGCTCTAATTTGGGCATCTATAAAATAGGCCTTAGCAGGCCTGCCTCCCAAAATTGTCATTATGATCTATTACAGGTGCTGGTGGAAATACTGTGAGCTTGATCTATTACAGGTGCTTGTGGAAGTGCTGTGAGCTAAAGAGTGCTGGAAAGTGTTAAGAAAATGCTTTCCAAAGCTATTGAAGAAAGTTTGGAATTCAGAAGGAGAATTTTTCTTGTAGAATGAAACAAAGAATATTAATTGGAGAATCTTAAGGATGAATAAATATCAGATAAATTAATCTCTACATAATTAAAATTTATTTCTGACCAAAAATGTTAATCTCATAATGACCTTTAATATTTAAATAGCAATCTACCTTAGAACCTCCTCTATCTAAAGAATATTTTTCTTTGGCTAGAGTGGCTCCCCACAACTGACTGAAAAGAGCTAGAGTAGAGCTTGGTGATGGAGAAAGGACTTAATTATAGTGGAGCAGCACACATTTACCTTAGGGTGTCTGTGGGAGTGGGAGCTGTGGTGCTCTTCAATTGATTTCATTTCTCATTGCCTTGACACTGTTTCTCATACCAAGACAGTCTCCTCTTGGATAGAATTAGTGGAGAGAATCATTTTATGTTTATGTGCTCATAGTCTGGTATGTTCAGTAACTGAGAGCTGACCCCCAGGTTAATTCTTGACTGTAATTGCTTCTCTTCCGAAATTTGGTAGCTCAAGAGGACTGCTACAAAAGAATGGATAGAGGGCTGGGCATGGTGATACATGCCTATGATCCTAGCACTCTGGAAGGCTGAGGCAAAAAGATCACAACTTCAGGTCCAGCCTCGGTACTTTTAACAACAAAGCAAGATCCTATCTCACAAGGGAAGTGAGGGACAGAGCTGGAGATGCAGCATAATAAAGAGGCCCTGGGTTCAGTCCCCATTACTGGAAGAAAAGAAAAAAGAAAAACATACTTGCCATTGGTTCATCGGTACTGAGTTCTGTTCTATGCTGTCAACATGTCGAGATTTTATTGCTACATACATAAAGACCTTTGGGGGCCTGCCGGTTAGCTAAATTGTTTAAGCGCCTTCTCATGCAAATGCAGTCAGGCGCAGGAAACTGTGCTTTGATCCCCACCTCCACCTGCCTTACCAGACCCTGCCTTAAGGCAGGCTGAGCCAGCAAAAAAAAAAAAAATCGTTCTCATAAAGACCTTTCAGTGCACAAGGGTGATGAAAATATACAGTGAATGTTCAATAATGATTTAACAGTTTACCCCAACCATCACCACAACAGCACATTTGTTTACATTATGACTATCAAAAGTATTGCCCAGACAGGTGTCATTTCAATCAGTGAATTCTTGTATGGAATAAATTTGACAAAATTGTCATTTTTGTATATATCCTGTTATATTATAAAAAGGATACAATTTTTGATGATCCTGTATTTAAATAATTAGAATATAAGTGACTAGAATTTTTAAAATTTATTGCAGTAAAAGACACAGTGCTATTAATCTCCTTCAAAATACTACCGTTTTGCTTAGAACACACTTGCCACATCATTTTTGCCACTTGCTGAAGCAGTTCTGGAAGTCCTCTTCCCTGAGTGTCTTTGCAAGATGTGATCCAAAATAATGGCAAATGCTACTGCTGATTGCCATCCAACAGAAAGGAGGCTCACAAAAAGTATGTGTCTTTAGCCATGCTATTCACTAGATAAACCACTGTGATACCTCTTGCTCTTCCCCAAAGTCAACATGATCGTGAAAGGTAATCATTTCAAATGATTCTGTACATCAGGGTAGCCAGAGCAGTTTGGCTAAAGACATCCATGAGCAAAGACTTTCCAAACTGCTTTAGAAAGTGGCAATAGTGATAAAATAAATGTGTCCAATGAAAGGGGAAATGTGAAGGATTCCATGGTAATGTGTCTTACTGTAATAATTTTATAAGTTTAAACTTTATATGTTTAGATTATATCTCCTATTACATGTTCTTTGAGACCTAGAAAATAACCAAATAAAAAATGTGTTCACTTATATTAACAGCCCAGTTTACAACCATTGTTTACAACTTTTATAATGTGTTAGAATTTGCATAATTTTATGACAGGGATCTTACATTCACAAAAGCATATAGTATGTAATATTTTGTAGCATTTATTTTATCTTATTTTAAATACAGGTTTTCTTAGTTAAAAAAATCTCAGGCTCTGATGCTAGACAGCTTTACGCTATGAAGGTATTGAAGAAGGCCACACTTAAAGGTAAGTGATGCTGCTATTTATCATGTTCATGTGATCTAAACAAAGTTTTCAGTAGAATGCATGTAACTGTAAGGCCACTTGCATCCTGAATTACTTCTGTTACCAGCTTTAAATTTAGACTGACTTATAGTGAATTTTTCTTATTAGACTAGGAATTGTCTGACTTGTGAGAACAGAAATTGCCATATTATAAAACAAGTATTGTAAATTCATTTAGGCAAATAGAAGTTGTAAACATTAAAATTGGATTTGATACATCTTCAAATTAATGTAATTATTTTAATGTCTTTAAAACATAGTGATTTACTTGCAGCAAAATATCTTTTATTCTAAATGACTATCATCTTGATTTCTGATCTCCAAATAAGTTTTTAATCAGAGCCTATGATTTTGAAAAATCTAATGCAGGATCCAGGAAAGGAACAAGTTCTGTCGAATACTAAAATTTATTTAAAGCACCAGTAATTCAGTATTCCATTGGTGGAAATAATAGAAACATAGAAGTCAGTGGAACAAAATAGTACAAACTATTTATTAAGGTTTATTATATTTATGTATTTGCTACAAATATTGAGTACCAGCTGTACTGTGTAGCAAGGCAGGTGTATAGAATAATGGGAAATTAAATAATGATTCCACAAGTTGAGTTTGAAATACCAGAACAACCTATAAAAACAATTAGTAATCTTACCTTAAACCCTACACCATAATAAACTTCAACCTCTTTATCTCTAAACAATAAAAATTCCTAAAAAAAATACAACTCCATTATTGTACCTAAAAAAGTAACATAGAGATGTCTAGTCAAATGAAAATTTCCAGTTATAATTCATTTTCTTTCACATAATTTGTTTGAACCAAGATCCATACATAGCAATTGATTTATCTCTCTAAGTCTTTTCATAAAATTCTTGTTGGTTGTTGTTTTTTTTTTTTTTTTGTAGTTTATTTGTTGAGAATACTTGTTCTTCCCATCCCACCCTTTTTCAGGCTTCCTGTTTTTACTTCATGGGTGACATATCATCTTTGATAGTTTTGTTCCTTTATCTGTATTCTCTGTTTCCCTTTATTCTTTTTTCCGTTTTGTTTTGTTTTGTTTTTTGTTTGATGGTACCAGGGATCAAGCTCGGGATCTTGCACTTGCCAGGCAAGCAGTTATTCCACTGAGCTATCTCCCCAGCTCTCCTGTTTTTGTTTTGCTGTTTTTTTCTCTAACGTAAGAATGAAGTCCTAAAAAAGAAGTACTGAAAAGCTGATTAAAAAAGATATTAAAGGGGCTGGTGAGATAGCTCAGTGGTCTAAAGCACCTACTTAGAACAAGCTTAGCAAAGCTTAGCAAAGCACAGGGACCGCAGTTCAATCCCCCAGTACCACATGCCAGCCAGCCCTGCCCCCTGGTGGGCTGAGCTGGCCACACACACACACACACACACACATAAATAAATAAATAAATAAATCAATTTTTTTTAAAAAAGGATATTGGGCTGGGGAGATGGTTCAGTGGAATAAGTGCCTGCCTGGCAAGCACAGAACCCTGAGTTCAATCCCCGGTACCGCAAAAAAAAAAAAAAAAGGATATTAAGCTTCAATTTTAGCTTTCTCTAATCTTCTGTGTTAAATACCATTGACACATCTATTACTTCTTTCTTTCCTTTGTTCTTTGGAATGTATGCATATAGTGGTCCCCCTTTATTGGTAGTTTTACTTTGTTTATAAACAGTTTCAGTTATATACAGTCAATAATGATCTGACAGTATTAAATGGAAAATTCAACAAAAAATCCGATAAATTTTAAATTGTGTACCATTGTGAGTAGTGTAGTAAATCCTTTCTCTGCCCTTCCTGGGACATGAATCATCCCTTTGTCCAACATACCCATTCTGTATACAATAGCCATGGCCCATTAGTCACCTAGTAGCCATCTTGGTTATTAGATGATTATTGCTATACTTGTATGCAAATAACCCTCACTTTATGTAATAATGGCTCTAAAGCACAGAGCCTTTTGGCCATTTGGACAAAGAGAAGCCATAAAGGGCTGCTTAAATGAGAATTTGAAAGTTTAGTGAGAACATTTTGAGAGAAACAGACAAAGATTACATCACATAACTTTTGTTAGTCTCTTGTTACAGTTTTTATTTTTCTTTTATGATTCATTAATTACTGTTCATAAGTTACAAATTAAACTTTATGATGAATATGTATGTACATAATGTATATAGGATTTAGTACTATTCAATACCCCACAGGTAAGAGGATTACTATCATTATTTTTCTATTAATGTCATTTCAATGGGGTTTTGAAAGAAGGTAGAAAATAAAACATAGATATTTAACCAGAAATTTCTATTTTAAAATTCCTATCAGTACAGTAAGTGGAGTCAAACAGAAGTTGATGACATTAGGTAAAGTTAATGGGGGATTTTGTCCTATTAAAGTTGGTCTGTCAAGACTGAAAGATTTTATAAACTGGCCTAAGACAATTTCTTAATACATAGTCCTAGAATTACAAAGAACATTTATTGTTTATTATTTTGAAGCCAAAGAGGGTTTAAATGTAATAAAAGTTTAAAACAGTGTAGAAGTTGACTGATACAAAAGATGACTTCTTCTGAACTAGTATAGACTAATAACAATTCTTGATTGTAGGATGATTTATATTTGTCACTGGGCCTTTTACATGAGGACAGGAACCCAGAATAGAATTTTTACATCCTGTCTCAGACAAAATGAAAAAAAAATAGTGAATCCAGTGCTCACTTTCAACTAAACAAGGTCTCAACAATATTACTTCTAAGGAAATGTAGAAAACTGTCTCACAAGATAAGCATAATCAGAAGAAAATCATCTTGCTGAAACTTCATATTTTATAAAGGACTAAATAAAAAGTCCCTGGGCTGGTGAGATGGCTCAGTGTTCTAAAGCACCTACTTAAAACAAGCTTAGCAAAGCCCAGGGACCACAGTTCAATCCCTCAGCACCACATGCCAGCCAGCCCACCCCCTGGTGGGCTGAGGTGGCCACACACACACACACACACACACACACAAATAAATAAATAAATAAATAAATAAATAAAATAAAATAAAAAAGTCCCTGAGCAGGGAAATGATTTGACCTAGGCAAATTGTAGCATAATCACTAAACCTAATACTTTTCATTTTCATTATGTAACAATAATAAAAGGATATATAATATATATTAGATCTAATGGTGGATATTTTCAGTGATTACTGAGCTAAGAAGTTATTTTGAAATGAAACACTTTGTATACTTATTGAAAGAGGTAGAAATTTTCAGTTTACCTTTGGGTAATAGGAACTAATCCAAGATTTTAAGGGCAACAATAGAAAAAGAGTGAATTTAAACTAGATTAGCAGGCCTTGGTGATTAACTTCATTCATATAAGAAAAAAAGAGCATGTTAAATATAAGATAGGTACCAGAGTTGTTGTATAGTAGGACAAGGTAATAAAACTCACAGATTGATAGTGAATTTAATATACTAGCTGGAAAAGTCAGTTAAGACAGCTGCACAGACCTCAGGAACAATCAAGTGCTTACTTCAGCAGCACATATACTAAAGTTAGAAAGAATAGTTGATTCATAATACTGACTTTTCCATTTTCAGTCAGTTGGCACCAAAATTTCCCAGTTGTGAAAAGAAAACTTAGATTTTTTAACCTATTTGTTTTTCCCAGATGTTTTATTTCTGTTTTAAATATCTGTGGTTATCTTAAACTCCAAATAAAACCACCTCAACTTTTTTCCTGTTCCCCCTTACCACCAAAAGACTCTCATTCTTTCTATCCTAACAATTCACACAGCCATTGAGAGTATTTTTTATCAGAATGTATTTACTCATTTATTTACATGTCTGTTGTTACTATTACATTATGAGCCTTATGATGATTATCTTATTTGTATTTGTATCCCTAATACTTAGCACAATAAACTTTGCTCAGAAAACATTTGTTGCTGGAAGAGAGCTTTACCCACAAGATCAAACATAAATTTATCCTAGTATTCTAACCAAAAATCTGGATCCTCCCTACTTCATTTCCCCTTTAATTAACCTCTGACTTGACTGCTTCCTGTTCATCATTAATGCTTCCATTTCTTTACTTACATTGACATTTAATAGCAGGTCTTTTCTAGGACCTATCTTTCTAACCATAAATTCTACTAGAAAGGTTTTTAATATTGTACCCTAACTCTGGCTCTTTCCTATAGCCTTCCTATGTAGGTAAAATTAATCTTGCCCTTCTCTTAATTCTTGTGCTACTCATTACTGGTAATAAATTGTTCTATCCTTTAATCATATTCATAGTGCCTGTTTTGGATATAATAGTGGTAGCTATCAGTTACCTGAATTTCTCTTACATACCAGGCTCTAGGTATAAACCTTATTTCAAATGCTCACATGTTCCTATGATGGTACAGTGATATAACCCTCATTTTATAGCTGAGAAGTAACTAAGGTTCACAGAACATAAATAAGCAGTTTATTCCACTACACAGATTTGAATGTAAATCTTTCTGTCCAACTCCAAAAAAACTATTCTCTCAGCTATGCCACAGCATTTCCTTTCTCCCCTCTTCCCTTTCCTCCCTCCCTCAAAATAGACTTTTGCGGGTGGATCCATCCTTCATTATATGTACTACATTTTATAGATACGTAATGATGTCTTATTGAATTGATAGTAGTGTTGTCACAAGTGTTGAAACCTGTTCTAGTTTGTTGTTGTATTTTAATACTTCATTAAGGGTACCTTGTTTCTTAAAAGTTGCATGTAGGGCTGGCGAGATAGCTCAGTGGTCTAAAGCGCCTGCTTAGGCAACTGCGCAGGGGCCATGGTTCGGCACCACATGCTGCGCCAGCCCTGCCCCTAGGGTGGGCTGAGATGGCAACCGAAAAAAAAAATTTGCATGCTTTTTTGCCATTTTCCACAACTTTGATTAAAATGCTTATAAATTTGATATTAAAGGTAACATTTAATATGTTCTGTGATTATTTTGCCTTAAGGTTTTATAAAGATACACAATTTCTTTTGGTTGTATAATGTAAAAGATATTTGTATTAATTTTGTAAATTTAATAGCAATAAATTTTTTATATTTTTATACACATAAGCAAAACTTTATTTCAAATAAACACTAAAAATAATTTGTTTTTTAATGTTATCTTTGAAAAATACTGCGATGTAACATACGTGCAATCTTTTGTAGTTCGAGACCGTGTTCGGACAAAAATGGAACGAGATATCTTGGTAGAAGTTAATCATCCATTTATTGTCAAGTTGCATTATGGTAAGTTCTGAAACTTCTCCCATCTGTTCTCCTTATCTCATCTCCCACTCCCTGAGTACTTTCAGATATACTGTGTAAGTAAACTTTTGCATATATTTGTATGTGTTTAGCAGATACATATACCACAGTCATGAAAATTGAACTATTATTTGTTAGACAAACTTTAAAAGCTTTTATTTCAAACATTAGAGAGTCTGAGTGGTAGCCATGTCAGCAGATAACAATTTTTTATTATAAAAAGTAGTAAAAGTGCATCAGTATTCTATAGTCCATATATGTTAGCCCAACTTAAGGAGAAAGAAACTGCTACTGCCTTTCTTTTCTCCAAAGCCACATGCTTCTTATCAGTGTATAAAAGTATAATAACTCTTACTACATGTAATTAAATCTAACCCACAATGTTTTCTGTAGTGGCATTTTAAAATTTTTTGTCTCATGTTTAAGTAAGACTTTTTCTGTTTTAAGATAGTTTTATTGATTGTGTTTGAAAGTATTCCTGAGAAAACTATCTGTAGAAAATTTAGTGGTTCCATAGTAAGAAACTGCATTTAACATTACGACATAGAAAATAAATCAGAGGTTTTCTTCTAAGTAAAATTGTTTCGATATAACTTAATCATAAATGTGGTAAAAGAATATTCATTTGTGAATTAATTGACCTAATATGAGCATAAACAATAAACTATAATGAATTAAACAAAAATTTTTGTTTTTTCATTCAGCTTTTCAAACTGAAGGGAAATTGTATCTTATTTTGGATTTTCTCAGGGGAGGAGATTTGTTTACACGCTTATCCAAAGAGGTATATTAATTAATGTCTTTTTAATCTGTTTGTTCTCTTCCTGTTTCAACTAAGACTTTTTTATATTTCGATATTATGCTTATCAGATTTTCTCTAGAGGCATAAGATTCCGATATTGAAGAAACAAAACCAAAAAGAGTTTTATTCCTGTTTTTTAGATTTATCCTGAAAACAAGACTTTAAACTGACAGTCTTTTTCTTAACCTTTCCTCTTTTTTAGTTTTCTAAAAAGTGATAATATATCCACAAGATATCATTAATTAGTAGTAGCAATATAGTATGCATTGTAAAGATCACTTTTTATTTCTAAAATATTACTATGTGGGGCCAGGGAGATAGCTCAGTAGAATAAGCATTTGCCTGGCAAACGCAGGGTCCTGAGTTCAGTCCCTGGTACCACCAAAAAAGTGGGGCGGGAGGGCGCGGCCAAATAGCTCAGTGGATTAAAGCACTTACAAGCAGGCCTGCTGTGCAGGCCCTCCCCCGGGGTGCACTAAGAAGGCAATTGAGACTGGGCATAGTGGCACGTGCCTGTAATCCCAACTTTTAGGAGGCTATAAACAGGCGAATCAGTATGAGTCTGATCTAGTAGTGAGACCCTGAACACCCTGTAGACACTTCCCTAAAAAAATACAAGTAAATAAATAAAATATTACTATGTAGAACAATGGCACAAAGAAAAGAGTTATTACTTAAAATTTGAAGTCATTTCTCCCACAGTATATAGTTAACATTTAGTGCTTGTGTTTGTATGTAAATTTAATTTCATTAGTAGATTATAAATATGTGCCTACATCTGGTAATCTAAGCAACCACTCTACAAATAATAGCATGTAATCTAACAATTATTGTTAATTTCCTATCATCTTGCTTTGAAACTTTGTATTGTTATTTTTTGTTGTTTTGCTTTTGTTTTTTTTCTCTTTAAACTTTAGCCGGGGAGATGGCTCAGTGGAATAAGCGCTTCCCTGGCAAGTGCAAGGGCCTGAGTTCAATCCCTGGTTCCGCAAAAAAAATAAAATAAAATAAACTTTAAAAAAGATTATAAATAAAGTTATATCTAATTAGCATATTTTATGTCATTGATTGTTTAAGCTTTAAAGTAGAACTTTAAATAAAAATCACAGATGCAAAAATAGCAGGTATTATTATTATCATTTTATTTTTAGGTGATGTTCACAGAAGAAGATGTCAAATTCTACTTGGCTGAACTTGCACTTGCTTTAGATCATCTACATAGCCTGGGAATAATCTATAGAGACTTGAAACCAGAAAAGTAAGGAATCATATTGCTAAGTTGAGTACCATGTTTAGGAGATCATGAAAAGTGATTTCATAGAAGTCCCATAGTATTGCACTAGAGTACCTGTGCTTCACATCTCTGCTAATACTATGTATTCTTATTTCTTTTAAATCTTAATGAAAAATATTATCTTGTTCTCTTTTTCATTCTTTGATTTTTACTGAGGTTAAAATCTGTTCTTGGGGCTGGAGAGATGGCTCAGCGGTCTAAAGCACCTACTTGGAACAAGCTTAGCAAAGCATCAGGGACCTCGGTTCGATCCCCCAGCACCACATGCCAGCCAGCCCCGCCCCCTGGTGGGCTGAGCTGGCCACACACACACACCTCTCTCTCTCTCTCTCTCTCTCTCTCTCTCAAATAAATAAAAAAAAATTAAAAAAAAATCTGTTCTTGTTTGTTAGCAGTTGTATTTTTGTGTTTTCTGTTCATGGCTTTTGCTTATTTTTCATTTAGACTTTTTCTCAATGGTTTATATGAGAGCTTTAAAATTAAGAAATTTTAACTATTAACCTAAGAACCTATAATTCAGGCAACTCGGGAGGCTGAAGCAAGATCACTAGAGCATAGGTTGGAGGCCAAAGACCCCGCATTTTTTAAAAAGTTGGACATGGTGACTCATGCCTTTAAACCCAGTACTGTGGGAGGCTGAGGCAGAAGAATCACAAGTTTTAGCCCATCCAGACAGCTTAGCAACTTACTAAGACTCTGTCTTAAATTAAAAAACAGAAAAAGTCTAAGGATATATTTCAGTGCAAAAGCCCTGAGTTCATTCCTAGGTAGTACAAAAAAAGATGAGTTCTGTTCAATTAAAAAATGGTACAAATACATTTTCCACTTTTTTTAATTTTAAATTTGTTATTTTAATCTACATACAGTTTTTTTCTCAGCCACATCTGCCAATCTTTTGTGACTTTTCCCATGACCTTTATTTTTAGAAAGGCTTTTCCCAAATCCATGATCACATATTTTTCTTCTAATTTTACAATTTTCTTATTTTACTTAGAACTCCATCTAGAAATTTTTGGTATGAAGAAAAATATGCAAGTAGCGCATTCTCCAAAAAAAATTTATTGAAAATTACCTTCTTGTAATTGCACATTTTAAATTAAACAAATTTTCCACAGCTCTTATAGTAGCAGTCATCAAGAAACTGATATTTAAATTTTACATATGTACTGATATTTAAATTCTACATACTTCCACATTTTAATTTGTCCTTGTTTGCAGTCTACCATTAAAGATTTCTTGTTTTCAAGTATATAAGGAAAAATGTAAACAATAAATATTTTGTACAGCTTTATTGAATTTTTCACATTGCACACAATTCATTTAAAATGGCACTGGCCTGAGGACTTAAGTACATGAGGTGCTCTAGCAGGAGGATCACTTGAGCCAAGGAGCTCAAGACCAGCCTGAGCAACTTATTGAAACACTATCTGAAAAGGAAGTGGGTACCTCATTTTCAGTGTATTTAGAGTTGTACAGCCATCATCTTTATCATGTAGTTTAAATATTAATGTAAAATGTTATGTGCAAGATGTAAATTATATATTGTGACAGGAAGCAGTGGAAGTGACCTTTTGGGCCTCTTTATGTGCACATGTAGAAATTGTCATACTTTTACACATTATGTTTTATATTTTGGTTTTAGATTGTTTTCAAGGATATAAGGAAAAATGTAAAAAATAAATAATATTGTATACAGTTTCATTGACATATAATTCACATTCCATACAATTCATCTTTTTTTTTCCTTTCTGTGGAACCAGGGATTGAACTCAGGCCCTTGCACTTGCCAGGCAAGCACTTATTCTACTGAGCCATCTCCCTGTCCCCCTAATTCATCCATTTAAAATGGACAGTTCCTGTGGTTCTGTTTTATTTCCCAAATACTGACCTTTCTTCATTGCTTTCTCAACTTCTAACTACAAAGATACAAAATATGGTATAATTCCTTATGAAAATAAATATTCAAGGACTGGGGTTGTAGTTCTGCAATAAAGTATTTGTGTTGCATTTTCAAGGCTTCATGTTCAATCCCTAGTAAGGGGAAAAAGTAAGTACTTAAACATTTAATCCTTAAAAGAAAAATTACTATAAATATAAGATTAATATGCATAAAAGTCAGCACTTTATAGTATTTAATTGAGTATACTTGTAATAGACCATTATATTAGTGTTGGTCATAAAACTGTATATGAAGCATATGTACTATCTCAAAACTTAGGATCATGGCCCAGGAGAAAGCTCAGTGGTGTAAGGGCCTGTCTGCAAGGTCATGAGTTTGATCCCGTTTGATCCCTGGTGCAAAATAAAAGTTACTTTCAAATCTTACTAAGATCAAATGTAGGTAAAATTGCATCTTTTAAGATCTTTTGGAGTATCTAGATGTACCTGTTTCTTTTCTGTAGCTCCATAATTAATGGCATTGCTCTTCACTCAATTATCTTTGTAAGCCAGTGTCATTTTCCAGTTGTCCATTGTCATGACCTAAAGAGTTGGCCAAATGCTCCTTAGTATTTTCTCTCAATTATTTTCTGAAATTATAGATCTTGTTACCACTCTGTGCCCATTTTTCTCTTATGATCTCTATTGTCTTTGTGAAAAAGAAAACAAAAAGATTTAGAATACATTGTGAAAAAGCAAAAGAAAATTTGGAATAAAATATTTACAGTACAGTCTCTCTATAGACTGACCTCATTCAACAGTCATTGGTGTGTGCTCTCCTATTCATGGGCCAAGAAAAGTGAATAAAATCAAATATCTAGGTGCTCATAATTTCCAAGAAGACTAAAAGTGAAGTCAGAAAAAGGAATGTGGGCAAAATGATATATTAAGAAAATGATTGTGTAGGTTGTGTGTGGAAGAAAAAAACTCGAGAAAGATAGTTGACTTTGATACCTTAAAGATGACGAAGATTACACTTTTGTCCTTGTAGACACTATTATGCAAGCACTGGGAGGTTTAGTCAGGCCACCTTTGCAAAAAAGCATAAGAAAGAGCAACTTGGGACAATATGTCTTATTTGATTATTCAAGTGCTTTTGGTTAATATGAGTTTATGGCATTGTATTTGACATCCTTTATGAATGTGTATTCAAAAAATTTTTCCGACTTTACCTTTGCCTTTTTATTTTGGACTAAAACAATATGTTACAATAAATGTGATCTAATGCTTGAAATATCATTTCAGTTTTAGCTTCTGTAGATTTAAAAGGTTTTCTGGCTTTGTTTTCTTTCAGCATACTTCTTGATGAAGAAGGTCACATCAAGTTAACAGGTAAAAAAATCCTCATTTTTATTAAAATATTCTCTGCGTAATTTTCTTTAAAGTTGATTATGGTACAAATACTGAGTGATGTATTATGTTACATTGCTTTATTATTTTTAGTAATCAATGTAAATCTTAGAATTCAAAGTTTGAAATGTTTCTGTGCAAAGTTTTAAGGATATGTTTATGACTTAAACATTTATTTTGGCAGATTTTGGATTAAGTAAAGAATCTATTGACCATGAAAAGAAAGCATATTCTTTTTGTGGAACTGTGGAATATATGGCTCCAGAAGTAGTTAATCGTAGAGGTCATACTCAGAGTGCCGACTGGTGGTCTTTTGGTGTGTTAATGGTAAGGTCTGGATTTTCAGTGTTTAGGGAATGAGAGTTAGTTTGTTTATTACATGAAAATCAGCAGTGAACATTATAAAGAGAAACTGGTGTTTTTAATTTTCTATGTTTTATTATCTAGGTTAGAACCAAGAAAAATGATGACTTGTAGTATAGGACTGTGGAATCCCATCAGCTAATTTCCTCTCATCCTATTTTGGAAAGACAAAAATATATTTTCTTAGATTATCAGCTATAGTAACAATCAAAAACATTAATTGTGCTTACTTTTTATGAGAATTTGGTCTATTAGAAAGTGATGCTGGGCCAGGGAGCTAGTTAAGTGGCCTGTGTGCTGCCTGGCAAGCACAAGTTCCTGAGTTTGATCTCCAGTATCACAAAAAAAAAGCAAGTGGTACTTTAAAAAGTTCATATGAAACTGGCATATCTGTCAGATTGCTCGCATAGCTAACACTTTAAAATTATCATTTAAAGTGTGATTAATTTCTACAAAGGGACTATATAACTCAATTATTTTTTTTAATGATTTTTTTTTTGGTGGAACTGCGGGTTGAACTCAGGCCCTTGCTGTTTCTAGGGAAACGCTTATTTTACTGCGCCATCTCTCCAGCTGCCATAACTCAGTTATTTCTGAGGAATATCAAGAAGTTTAATAATGTACATAGTAAAAATATAAATCACTTGTAGCTAACAGTTTTAGAAGATTTTGTTGTAATTAAGATGATGCTTTTTTAAGCTCTTGATTTGAGTTTATATATTTATTGACTAATACCTTTGATTATTTTACCTCTGTGTAGTTTGAAATGCTCACTGGTACACTACCTTTCCAAGGAAAAGATCGAAAAGAAACCATGACTATGATTCTTAAGTAAGTATTCTGTACTGACAGTGTTAAAATAGAGATTTCAAAATAAATGCATAAGAATAAGAAATAAGATTTTTAAAGTGTCAGGGGGCCTGCCCATTAGCTCAGTTGTTTAAGTGACTGCTTAAACAGAGCAGTCAGGCTCAGGTTGCTGTGGTTTGATCCCCAGATCCTCAAGCCTTACTAGACCTACCCTGAAGGCATCCTAAGCCAGCGAAAAAAAAAAAACCCTTCTGGGGCCAGGGAGATGGCTCAGTAGCATAAGCACTTCCCTGGCAAATGCAAGGGCCTAAGTTCAATCCCCGGTTCTGCCAAAAAAAAAAAAAATAAGATTTTAAACTGTCAAATGTAGTATAAGACATAACTGAAACATTTATAATATTAACAATTTATGAACAAAATACATAGGTTTAGAGTACTCATATTTTCATTGTGTGAATGATGAAATACTGAAAACTTTATCTTTGAAATTTAAAATAGGACAAGTATGCCTATTACTTCACTTCTATCTTCATTGTCCTTTAGGTTCTAGCCAGTATGGTAAAGCAAGCAAATAAAAAAAAGTATGGTATAAAGTTTAAAAAGAAAAAGCCAGGCATGGTGTTACATGCCTATAATCCCAGCACAGAGGACACTTAGGCAAGAGGATTGTCATGAGTTTGAGGCGAGCCTGGGCTACATAGTGAGTCCAGCCTAGCCTGAACTACATAGCAAGACCCTGTGTCAAAAAAAATAAAATTGTCATTTTTAGATAACATGTATTCATAGAAAATCTGATCATAGTATAAATTTGTAGAATTAATGAGCTTAGCATAGTTTTTGTTTACAGGATCAATAAACTTATTCTCTGTGAATCTATTTTGTACGTGTATCCTCACAACATAAAATGAAAATTTAAAAGAAGATATAGCTAGACATGGTAGCGCATCTGCAATTCCAGCTATTCTGGAGGTTGAGATAAGAGAATGGAAAGCATGAGATGAGCTTGGAAAATTTAAAGAGATTATGCCTCAAAATAAGAATGAGCAGAAATACAGATCAATGGCAGGGTGCTTACCTGGCATGCAGAAGGCCCTGGCTTTCATGCTTAGCACCAAAAAGAAGTGGAGCCAAGCGTGGTGGTGCATACTTGTACTCCCAGAACTCAGGTGGTCTGAGGCAGGAGGATTGCTGTAAGTTCCAGGCCACCCTGGAACTACACAGCGAGACCCTGTCTCAAACTAAAAAAATGTGTGGTGGGTACTGTTATCAGTAATATAAAAAAAATTTTCAAATTCCTAGGGGTAAATTTAACGAAAGTTATGGAAGACAGCAGAAAGCTAATTGTTTTGTGTGGTGTTAATGATTGAACCCAGCACCTTCCTGTTAAGCTACATCGCCAGCCCTTACTTATTTTTTATCTGGAAACGTTTATTAAAATTTAAAAGTATCATATTCTGTAGGGACTTAAAGTTCAACATATCAATACTTGATGAAAAATACCTGTTCCTTATTATGCCTAAGATGTTTGAAATGCAGTGAGATAGTGAGGTTAAGATTGATAGCCTAAATCGTTTGATAATAACAATAAGCTTTTCTTCTGGATGGTTAACAACCTAAGTTTGCTGACCAAAATTAGAGAAAAAGGAGGGATACAAGGAATGCCAACATTTTGGCCCTAGCCTTCTAAGGTCAATTAAGACTCAGGACATATGAGAACTTGTACTGTAACGTCATGTACCTCGGTAGTGTCCCAAATTTTCTGATCAAGAAGATTATGGGGCCAAAGAGGAAAGTGATCGATGACATAGAGTGGGCCTAAGGAGAGTCACATGGGGAGAAGATACTCTCTCAGGCTTTCACAGAGAGCACATTGGCCAAGCAATGGCCGTGACTCACCCACATGGCTGACACTGACAAAGGTTCTACAATCTGAGGTACAGGATCTCAGGACAAATCCTGAGGGCATTTCACTGACCTTCTCTGACCAAAAAGCTACAACTCTTGTTGCATAGGTCCTGCTTTACCTTGGTCTTAACCATCCAGCAGAAAAGTATGAAGACGAAATTATAAGAAATAAAGCCATGCTGTTATGTTGAGCTGTGGGGGACTCAGGTCAATAATTTCTGACATTGCCAGTTAAACAGAAGACCCAATGCTATTATGGGCTACTGGACTCTTTTAGAATATTTTGCTGAGTTTACACACCTATAATATTCAATAACGGAACTTAGAAAAAATGGGGTATACAGATGAATGTCCATTTTGTATCTGTGTATTCAAAGTGGTGGGGATAGATACATAGTTACATTCTGTTAATGAATAGAATGGTTTGTTCTAATGGTGTTTGTAAATAGGATCACAAGTCCGCATCTTGTACAGCAATTAACCACTAAGAAGAATATATGCAGTGTATTATTTGTTGAAAAATAAAAAAAAATAAATAAAATAAAATTTAAAAGACCACAATAGCTTGCAAAGATAAGCTGTATCTACACAATAACAGACCCATTGTTTTAAAGATGTTGGTTCTACAGATCAGTGTTAAATCTAATAAAAATATTATACAAGCCACATATATAATTTTATGTGTCTAGTACTGCAATAAGAAAAGTGAAAACTTTAGGACCAGCCAGATAGCTCAGTGGATTAAAGTGCCTGCTTAGGCAGACACAGGGACCGGAGTTCAATCCCCAGCATGCCATGCCAGCCCCACCCCCAGGGTACACTGAGATGGCAGTTGAGACTGTGAGTGCCTGTAATCCCAGCGTTTGGGAGGCTGAAAACAGGAGGATCACTACAAGTCCAATCTATGTAATGAGACCCTGTAGACCTCATAGACCCCGTCCCAAATACATTTAAAAAAGGGCTTGGGGTATAGCTTAGCGGTAGATTACCCCAGGTTCAATCCCCAGTTCCATCCCCTCAAAACAAAAGATGGCCATCACATTCATGAGAATGCATGACTGATAGTGGTTAAATACTTAATAAAAATCAAGTCCCTTAATTTGCCACAAAGATGTCCAACAAAAGACAATATGTTTAGCACTGGGGTGACTGGGGTAGGAGGATCACCGGAATATGAGGCCAGCCTGATTTACAGAGCAAGAAGATAAAAACCACAAGTGCGCTAGAGAAACCCAGGTATAGTGGTTCATGCCTGTAATCCCATCATTCTGGGAAGCTAGGATAGGAGGATCACAAATTCAAGCCCAACCTGGGCAATTTAGCAAGATAGCAGTTTACAAACAAGTTTGTTTACAAAACAAGTCCTGATACCATAGCAGCTTCAGGTTTTAAAATACAAATCATATTTATTTCAAGGTGGTGAGAAACTATTTTCATTAAAATATATTTTTAATGCCAGTCCAAAAGAAAAAAAAAAAAAAGAACGAAAAAAGGGTGAAAAAAAAAAAAAGACTGACAAAGTGTTGGTGGGATGTAGAAAAAAGTGGTGACTTTCATACATAGCCAATCAAGACTCTAAATGCATAGCAACTTTGGAAAGCAGTTTTTTCATTATCTTGTAATGATAAACCCATTTATCCCACTAGGCACGTGCTTAATTTGTATACATCAAGGTACACACACATCAAGATACAAGTACAAAGCTGTTCATAGCATTATTTGTAATAGTGGAAACTGGATGATTACCAGTAAAAAAAGAATACTGTAGGGTTTGTATTTACTGGTATCTGTAAATATTTTAAGTTTTGCAGGCCACACACAATATGTCGCATACTTTTATTTGTGTTTTTTAATCCAACCCTATAAAAACAATTCCTCAGACCCATACAAAAACAGGTCGAGGCTTTTGGCTCATAGTGATATATACTGTGTTACACAGAGAGAATGAATAAACCACAGTTATGTCCAGCAACTTGAGTAGATCTCATAGGGACATTAAGCAAAAAAGTCCATACACAAAAGAACAAATACTATGATTCCATTTATAAAGTTTACAAAACAAGCAAAACTAAAGCATATTTTAGGATCCTTATTTAGATGGCAAAAGCTGGAGGCAAAATAAGGAAAGTGGTTACAGTGGATGAGGGATTCTGGCAATGTTGTATTTCTTGGCCAGATGACTTCACTTTTTGGTGAATCATTGAGCTGCGTACTTTGGGTGGTTTTTTGTTTGTCTGATGAAGTTTTTTTGTTACATTTTTATGTTATTCACAATAAAAGTTTAAAAACATACTATATAAATGAATAAATGTTCACCGAAATTTCACAGCTGAACCTTCAACATTCCATCTGCTCTGATCCCCTTCTTTCAGCTAACAAATACACCATAGTGTTGAAAAAACTAAACCCTTTCATTGGCCTTCCTTTCAAGTTACTGTACCATTTTCCTGTACCCTTTCAATACAAGGTCTCTTCAAAGAGTAGTCTATGGGATGGGGGAGATGGCTCAGTGGAATAAGCACTTCCCTGGCAAGCACAAGGGCCTGAGTTCAATCCCCGGTTCCGGGAAAAAAAAAAAGAGTAGTCTATGCTTTCTGTTACTATTTTGGGAGCTTCTTTTATTCCACAGCCTATTTTAGTCATTCATCTTCCATCACTTTCCTGAAACTGTTGTCACTGTGGTTGTCAGTGGTCTTCTGGTTGCTAAAACCTGTTGCAGATTGTCAGACTCTACCATTCACACAATTCATTCAACTCATAATTGAGTTCTTGGTACATGTATTTGGAATGCAGTTTAAATAAGGTTGAGATCTTTGGTAGACTCACCAGGCTTACATTTTTAGTAGGGAAGGTGAGGAATTAATATTTAAGCAAATAAAACAGTTTCAGGCTATAATGGGAACCATAGGGATAAGCCAAAGTACTTTACAGAGGTAGTAAACCCCATAAGTAAAGGAAGAAAAAAAATAAGTGAAGGAAGAGCAAGGAACAAGAGTTTAAATGAACCAGTTTAAATGAACCAGTTAAGGAAAGTCTCTGTAGAGCATTTGACACTGTTGACCACTCCCTGGCCCCTTTGCTTTTCCGATACTCATCTGCTTTTACCTTTCTAACCATTCATCTTTTGGTCTCTTTGCTTAACCATTACTCCTCCCCCTGTTTTTCTTTCTTTAGTTATAAGAGTTTTCAAATATAAATTGTGACAATAGAATAATAAAATGGACATGTATAAATACTCATCACCCAAATTTAACAGTCGAGGATTTTGCCACATTTACTTTATCTATTCCTTTTTTTCTTTTTTTTAACTCATATATTTTAAGCATTCCAGACATGTCATTTCTCATCTCTTTAATTCAGTTTACCTTGCTAAAAATAAGGATTTTTATATAACCACATATGACAGTAGGAGTAATAATGTTTAAGAATTATCTAACACCAATCCTGAAACCAATTTTTTTTTAGATTTTCTGTGTCTACAGTTGGATCCAAATCAATTCTACACATTCTATTTAGTTATATTTCTTAACTGTGTGATAATCTAGAATACCCTATCCTTATCTTTGTCCTGCCTTTTATGTGTCAGTTTTTCTGCTTTCTGAATTTATCTTGTCAGGGGAAGAGACCATCTCTTAATGTCTGAAACAAAGAGCATAAAACTCATTTTATTGTTTACGTATAATAAGAGAAGCAATGTTGGCCCAATAGTGTCTGTCCAGGCAGAGTAGAACACTGATGTTAGGTAAAGTTGAGAGGATGGGTGGGGTTCAAGAGCTGGCAGATTTTCAGGTCCAGAAGTTGATTAACATCATCTATAAGTGCATACTTGTGGCTTATTTTCAGAGAAAGCACTTGCTGATAGGTTGGCTGGGAAGTGTTCACCAGAGATGTGTCATTGACAGTTGAATGGATTTAAAACTAGTTCTGAGCTGGGTATGATGGCACACACCTGTATTCCTAACATTCTAGGATGTTGAGGCAGGAGGATGGTAGGTTTTAGCCCAGCCTGGGCAATGCACTAAGTTATTGAGACCCTGTCAAACTAAAAAAGTAATAAAAGGACTAGGGTTACGACTCAGTGTGAAAGCCAATCTTCTACTGAGAGTGAAGTATTTTTATTTTTGTGCTTCTGACTTGTTTCTCTAGCCTATTTTGTAATGGGGTGGAGAGGTGAGACAGGCTCTTTATATATTTCAAGGCAGTCTTAAACTCTTTTGGTATCAGAGCGTGGGCTGGAACTCATGACAGTCCTCCTGTCTCAGCCTCTCAAGTTCTGGGATTACAGGCATGCACAAACATGTCTGACATTCTTTATTTTTTGTGCTTAAGATTGAACCCAGAACCTTAGGCACACTAAACATATACCATTGAACTACACCCCCACCTCTTTATTAATTATTTTAATAAGCAAATTGTTCATTTTTCAGACTGCCTTTTAAATACTCTTCTCCCCCACGGTTCAGTCCCTTATATGTGCTTTTCGTTCCCTCTATACTCATTTCCTCGACTGACCTCAGTCTTCCCTATATCTACTCTTAACATTTAATTTTTCCTAAGTCATTTTTTGTTACATCAATTAATCAAGCACTAAAATATAATTTCCATTTACTTACCTGAGTGGTTTTCCCAAAAATGTGTGGTATGCATGACTTCCCATCTTTAAAGTATATCTCTATTTGCTGGATGTTTTTGTTTTGTTTTTTCCTCTTTCTGCATTGCTAGTTAGCATTTCCATGGACCTTCTTTCCCAAACCAGTAACCTCATTCTTAATATCTTCCTCTCTGTTATATCTTCAGGTATTCTCCCACTTTTATCTCAACTATTTCTCTGATCCAGGCCTTCCTCTGCATTGCAGTGCTCACAGGAGTCAGACCTTGGGTGCCTCTTAGCCACACTAATGGACAATGTTCCAAAGCCTATCACCTTTTAGCCTTTGAAATCATTGCCTGCTGCCCTTGAAGTTAACGTATATTCTCTGAAAACAAGAGGCACTAGAGACAAATTTCTAGAAAATGATTTCTTTAGATTTCTCAGCCTTTTTTATAAAGTGTGTTTTATTCAGTGTCTCCAACAAAGGGGTATAATAAATAGTATGGCTTATGAAATATTTTTGTTATCTAGAGAGGTTAATGTTGTCCACTAAAATTTTGGGGGACGCTAGCCAGATGAGTAAATTTTCTTTCCTTTTTTTCCCCCCTGGGGAAGAAAGTGTATATTTAGAATTAGCCAGCTGGACTCAGTTTAGATGATCCTAATTTTGTTAGCAACATCCAATGCATCATAATCGAGAGCCAGTCAAACATACGCCTTCTTCTCTCCATCAGGCCTGATTAGGGTATTGACCTTGCCAACATCAATGTCACAGAGCTTCTTTACAGCTTGTTTGATCTTGTGCTTATTGGCTTTGACATCGACAATGAAGACGAGTGTGTTGTTGCCCTCGATCTTTTTCATGGCTGACTTTGTGGTCAGGGGAAACTTGATGGCATAGTGGTCAAGCTTGTTTCTCCTGGGGGCATTCTTCTGAGGGTATTTCATCTGCCTCCAAAGCCACAGTGTCTTGGGACAGTGAAAGGTGGGTGACATTCATATCTTCTTTTTGTGGCTGTGGATGCCTTTCAGCATAACCTTCTTGGCCTTAAGCTTTTGCTTTGGCTTCAGCTTTGGGAGGGGCAGAAGCTTCCTTCTTCGCCTTCAGTGCCATCTTGTTAAAAAAGTCACATGAGGGGCCAGGGAGATGGCTCAGTGGAATAAGCGCTTTCCTGGCAAATGCAAGGGTCTGAGTTCAATCCCCAGTTCCACCAAAATAAAAATAAAAATAAAAAGGTCAGATGAATAAATTTTCAATCTTTATGTTACATTGAAGTGTTTTCACATTGTTCCATATTAAATTAAATATCTACTACTGTTCTCTTAGCATTCTTTACCTAAATCCTTTTGGATTTGTCTCTTAATGTATTGGCATTATCTATATACATTTCTGTACTGAGGATGAGGACCTATCATTAGCTCTGTATCCACAGTACAAAGTAGTCTCGGGCACAAAATAATTCAGTAACAATTTACAGAATAATAAGTGGATTTAGGCAACCTGTTTGGGTCCCCTCTTCTGTCCCTCTCTTGGACAAGAGCTTTCTTTTCCCCAATAAATATATTCTGCTCTTAAAAAAATAAGTGGATCTATTTATGAAAAGGGAATTTCTCTCCTAGCCATTTTCTCCAGTTTTATTATTGTTGTCATAGTTACAGGATCATCAGTTTCTTTAATTTATAGGGCTGGAAAAATAATACACTTAAACAGTGTAGCTAAAACAGACCTTAAGCTCATCTAGGCCAGAGGTTTTCACACTGTACCACAGAGTCTTCAGTGTTCCACAAACTCCTTTCCTATCAATTCTTTTTCTGTAGAGGTTGTTGCAGGATTGCAAGGTGGAAAGTGGCATATGAGGCACATGTTCTCTTCGCACTTTTTAAGGGTTTTTTTTCCATAATTTTATTGAAAAACTAAGCAATGGGACAGTTTCAAATCCGATTAGGACAGTTTCAATAATTAATACATTGCATATTGTTGTCTTAGTGGTTATTCATTGTACAAGATGCAGACATGATATCCTGTTTTAATATTAAGTTTCTTAAATTCCTTTAGAAAAGGAATGCTAAGGCTACAGTTTCTGAACCATTGATATAGATTCCAAAGTCTTGGCTTGTGAAAAAGTGTTAGCAGGCAAAAAGGGGTTGATTTTCCCAGGGTCACAATGTTTTTAGTAAAAACCACGGCTAAGGCTCAGGTGACTTTATTGTCATGGTAGTGCTCTTTACAGAATTCTGAAAGGTAAAGTCCACCAAAAGATTATGGACTAAAATTCCGTTAATGTGATCATACAATCTGTATATGAATGTTATAACAAGCTTTACTCATAATGGCCCCAAACTAGACGCAATTCAGATATCCTTCAATGGGTAATTGCATAAATAAACTGTGACACATCCATACAGGATCCTAGGCACATAAAGAAATGGCTTAGAACTAAAAACACATAAACATAAGCACAAATAAAACGAGGGTCATGTGAATGAGATTGGTCAACACCCTGGTTATGATTTGCAGTAGTGGGGATTGAACCCAGTGTTTTTGTCCTGAGCTATATCTCCAACCATTTTTAATTTTATTTTAAGTCACAGTCTTGCTAAATTGCCCAAGCTGGGCTTGAACTTGCAATCTTCCTGCATCAGCCTATGAGTGTGCTGAGATGATAGAGTTCTGCAGCTGTACCCAGATTACACTGCAGTTCTGTAAGGTGTTACCATTAGAGGAACCAGGTACAGATGATCTCTACATTATTGCTCATGTCTTAAGGTGAATGTACAAGTATTTCAAAAATAAAAGTTCAAGTTTAAAAATTTTTTAAGAGAAATAGATACCACAACAAATAAAATGTTGGGCTGGGGAGATGGCTCAGTGGAATAAGCGCTTCCCTGGCAAGCGCAAGGGCCTGAGTGCAATCCCTGGTTCTGCAAAAAAATAAAAATAAAATGTTATTTTCCTATTTATTATTTAGAGCCAAACTCGGGATGCCACAGTTTTTGAGTCCTGAAGCCCAGAGTCTTTTACGTATGCTTTTCAAACGAAATCCTGCAAACAGATTAGGTAAAAAAAAAATTGATTGATTAATTTCTTTTGTGTGCTTGTTCGTGTTTGATTTTATGTTTTGGAGAAGTAGCTATTTGTTTTTATAGTGAGATTATTGAGATTCAGACAAATATTAAAAGCAAAACCTAAACAATATATATTTTCCTTGAAATAAAACTATCAACTTTTAATAGGTGCAGGACCAGATGGAGTTGAAGAAATTAAAAGACATTCATTTTTCTCAACAATAGACTGGAATGTAAGTATAGGATGAAAACTTACTTGAATTTTTTTATAATTAACGCATTACCTAAGTTTCTCTTTTTTTCCTCCAGAAACTGTATAGAAGAGAAATTCATCCACCATTTAAACCTGCAACTGGTAGGCCTGAAGATACATTTTATTTTGATCCTGAGTTTACTGCAAAAACCCCCAAAGGTAAAGAGAAATAAAACATGAAAACTCAAATATAAGGCCTTAGATCTTTTTTTTTTCTTGTTCAGTCAGAGCTTTTCCAGGGTAATTCTTTACGCTATCCTAAAATCTCCTAAATTTGTTTATCACCCTTGCATTTCTTGCCTGACATGGAGCATAGCACTGATAGGTATCATGTAGGCTGCATTGATTGCGGTACCCAGTAGCCACATATAGCTAATTAAATTTAAATTAATTACACATTTAGTTTCTCTGTCACACTAGGCACAGTTCAAATGCTCAGCGGCTATATGTGGCTACTGATTAGCATGTTGGACCACACAGATAAAATGTCCTTTATTAAAGGAACTGAGTGGTTCAGTGCTAATTTTGAATGCCATTAACTCACTAATTAATTGACTTATTATACTCTTCCAATGAGCTAGCTATTTTCTACCTTATGAGGAAGTAGAGTATTAGAGTAACAGTGGCAATAAGTCATCCCGACAGACAATGCAAGGCCTCACTGAGGTATCCTGGACATCAAGGGGTATATATAATGGTGCCTGAGAACTCTTCTAGATTAAGAAAGAAAAGTCATAGTTTCATTGCTTCTTCCCTTCAACTTTCAAAGGAATCTTCTTAGTGATTTCTTACTCATTTCAGATTCCCCTGGGATTCCACCTAGTGCTAATGCACATCAGCTTTTTCGGGGGTTTAGTTTTGTTGCTATTACCTCAGATGATGAAAGCCAAGCTATGCAGACAGTTGGTGTACATTCAATTGTTCAGGTGAGTAGATTCCTCAGTCATTTTAGATTTGAAGTGCCATATGCTATATTTCAATCATGAGTAATAAAATGCAGATTATCTGCTGAGATTTAGTGAACAGCTTAAAATACATTTTATATCTTTTTTTCTTCAGACAGGGTCTCTATGCAGTTCAGGCTGGCCTTATACTCACTTTTGTAGCCCGAGGCTGCTCTCAAACTCTCAGGGATCCTCCTGTCTCAACCTCCCAAGTGCTGGGGAATGCTGCGATTACAAGGGTGTGCCATCATGCCCAGCTCTGGGGGCCGAGAAGGCACACCTGGGGCTGAGACAGCGCACCCAGGGCTCCAGGGCTCTGCACAGCACAATATGCCATGCCGGAGATCGAACTTGGAACCTTGTGCTTGCCAGGCAGGTGCTTATGCCTCTGAGCTAATTACCCAGCCCGTACATTTTATATTATTAACATTACTCTTGGAAATGTCTTTTAGCCAGGCATGGTGGCACACACCTGTAATCCCCACACTTGGGAGGCTGAGGCAGGAGGATCATTATGAGTCTGAGACCAGCCTGAGCTGCATAGTGAGACCATGTCTCAAAAGGAAAAATGGCTTTCATATGTCATTGAAAAGGCTACATGAACCAAAAATTCTAGATATTTATATGACTATAACTTGAAAGTGAAATTCTGAGATATAGAGGTGAACATCATCAGCTTCACTGACCCCTCTCTTGGGCCTCAAAGTGTTTGTCAGGGCTATTGTGCATCATCCCAGCCTGTTTCAGGTCTGCTATAATGGATGGACTGAGGACTACAGGTGTTTTAACGCCTTAGAGTAGGGGTCAGCAGACTTTCTTTGGAAAAGTTCAGAAAATAAGTATTTGTAGTTATGTTTCTTCTTACATAGCTCTGCATAGCAACCACAGACAGTACATAAACTGAAATGACTGAGTGCTAGCTGATCCTGGTAACACATGCCAATAGTGCCAATCACTGGGAAAGCTGAGGCAAAAAGTTCAAGAGCTTGAAGCCAGCCTGGGCACTAAAGCAAGACCCCCAGCTCCAAGAATACATATACATACTTTATTTACAAAAACGAGCAATGAACCGGATTTGTCCCTTAGGTCATAGTTTACTAGTCTTTGTCTTAGATAAAGAACTAAAAATGACCCTAAACCTGAATTTTCCAAGTTTTGTGACATTGTTTTCTTGGAGCCCCCTTTGTCATTAAGAAGAAATGGTGCTGAGCATAGTAACCCACACCTGTAATCCCAGCACTCGGGAGGCTGAGGCAAGAGGATTTTTGTGAGCTTGAGACCATCCTGGGCTAGAAAACGAGCTCAAGGCCAGCCTGAACTGCATAGCAAGATCCTGTCTCAAAAAGACATAAAAAAGAAGAAATCATTATGGGTACTGCCTGAAAGTACCCCTACCTCTTTATCTTGTTTATAAGTATTACAGAAAAAAATAAGATCACTGGAGCAGGTTGGTTGGTGGGGGAGGGGTACAGGCAACTGAATTAGTAAATTATTGTTGGAGGGACACAAGTAGTACAAACATTAAATTTCTTTCTCTGTAAGTATTGCAGGAAAGTAATTTGTCCTAATCTGATCATTACATATTGTATATTTATATTAAAATGTCATACCGTATACCATAAATGTGCAATTATTAAATGTCAATTAAAATTAAAATATTTCTTAAAATGTCTTTAATCTAAATACGGTATATATTTTGAAATATAGCATTGTTTTTAGGATATTATTGTTGAAATGTACTTCATCATCTCGCTTTTGCTCTAAGTGTTTTTTTCATAGAATAAGTCATCTTTTACTTTCCAGAAAACCAGTTTAAAATGATTTTTAATCAAAATTTAGGTTGCTGTACTCTGTCCCATTTACAATGCAAGCACATGAATATATGACAAGTTTTTACATTATAACTGCAGCACCTAACATAGAAACTACAAGCTTAATAATCTACAACTTCAGGTTCTATCTTATACAGAGCTTGTTGGCATTGAAGGCCTTGTATCAGTATAACGAAGAGCAGCATAACTTCTCTCAGCCTGTTCATAGAAACACTAACTTGTCATTCATCATGTACCATATATTCAATAGTTTCTAAATCATGAATGGCCTCTTTAGCAGAAGTTGTATAAATCTATATGTTGAAGAAAGAAGGGCATACCTGCTGAAAGTACAAATAACAACTCATCACTTGCAAAAACACTGTTTGATTTTATTATCACCGTTACCCTGTGGGAATACACAGGCACAAGGTTACCTGGCTTGTAAGGGGTACGTGTGAAACAGTCCACGTGTTCTAATTCTGAATCCTCCTAGTTATTTCTTCTATACTTGAGTTTCAAACTTCTCCTGAGTTCCACAGCTCTGTCAAATTGAAATAGACCTCAATCAAAGACAAGGCTTTAGGCCCCTTGTCAAGTATTTCTGCTCTTTCTTTTGTACATAGTTAAATTTTTTTTATTGACATAGTTAAATTTTTTAACACACTTTTAAAAGGCATATTTCTTCCTATAAATAGCTATGTGTAAAAGAATATGTGCTATAAAGAATCTTTATTTTTACTGATTATTCATTTATAATTAACACCAACACTGCATACTGAGTAACATAATTAAGTTATAAAATATACTAAAAACATTATAGAAGTCATCATATGTTTATAATTTTACTTGCAGCAGTTGCACAGGAACAGTATTCAGTTTACTGATGGATATGAAGTAAAAGAAGATATTGGAGTTGGCTCATACTCTGTTTGCAAGAGATGTATACATAAAGCCACAAACATGGAGTTCGCAGTGAAGGTAAATATTCTTAGACTTAAAATACAAGGCTGAAAGTTCTTATTCATGCTTATTGCTTTGGTAAAAGTGCCTTTTATATCAAAATGTATTATTCTCATACATGAAAATACTACAATTGAAATGTAGTATTTTATAAAATTAATAAGATGTTAATAAAAAACAAAAGCTGGGTGTGGTGACACAAACCCTAGATTCAGCCATTTCTGAAAAGCCTACTCCCCATGGCTGCATGAGGTTTTAGGGTGATACCTAGACACAAACCATAACTATTATGTATATATACTATTACATATATATGTAATTATATAATATATATATATATATATTACTCCACTATATATATATAGATAGATATATAGAGATATATTCCTTTTGTTATAAAAAGTTGAGGCAAATTTAAATATCTGAGCCAGTGACTGTCAAAGATCTTAATTGATGCAATGTATTAAATATAGAAACTGTCCTATTGATCAGTTTTGAAACTGCCTCATTGCTGTTTCTCAATAAAATTAATAAAAAAATAAAAAGTATTCCCTTTACTCTCAAAAGTCCCCATTTTATAGTCAGGTTATGAGAAAGTACTTAAACTTGTTGCTAAATTGTATGTGCTTATATTTTTCTGGAAAAATTGTTCATACCTTTCTTTACATCCATCTAAAAAGATCTGTGAAGAATAAAAGAATAAGAACCACTGCTGTAGAATTTATTTGTTGTATTTATCATTGCTAATTTTAATTTCATCAGGTATCTTTCAACAGAATTTTCTAAGCTAAAAACTAAGGCTCTGTGATAAAGTTTGAATTTCAAAAGTTTAACTGTGAATGAACAAATACTATATTCAAAGTCTCTTGTCTTTTCATTTCTTGGAATGAGAATCTGCTCTCCTACCTCAACTAATTGAAGTAATGTTTAAAGCTTCCATCTTATCTTGAACCTTTTGTATTAGTTTATAAGTATGGGTAGCTTATATTGATTTAGTGAGAAAGTAACATTAGTTGTTGTTATTATACTAAAATTGGATGTAATTGCTTTAAAGAGTCATCACTGTCCATAAGGCTTCCTGCCAGATGTAGGGATAAACCACAGAAATAAACTTAACTTGCTATTCTACTCATTACTCTTACTAAAATCTGGAATCCATAGAAATTTTCAAATTGTGTTTGTGAAAGAAGGAAAAAAGAATGGTATGCTTGATGAATAGTTTGAGGATGTATCCTTACTCCACAAACACATCATCAAAAGCAGAAACGTCCTGAGGCCTACTTTGAATTACAGAAACCAGGAGCAGTATGTCTAAATCCTTCAGAATGTTGCCAACTATTTACGGATTCCTGTTACATTAGATTCATAAACCCAATTCCAACAAAACGATACTCTACTGAAATCGCTTCATGTCTGAAATCCACAAACACAAATATAGATATGATGTAAGTTGAGCTCAGATTATCGTATTAAAGAATATTGCTAAAAATATCACCTCCCGGTGTGTTCTGGTTTTGAAGAGACTAACCCCAGGTCACCTCTCTTGCCCTAGCATGCCTATTATGTATACTTCTCTTCTTAGCCATCCATTTGACTAATTCCACACTAATCATTTGCAGTGGGTACTAAAGTGAGTACTTAAGTGTTTGTCTTCCCTGATCTCAAAATATGGAACTGTTTTACAACTACCTCCATTTCAGAAAGATTAGATTCACACTGAGGCTTAAGCTCTATCCTAGGTTACATGGGGGGCCCAGCCCTAGCTCAGTTCTTTAAGTGGCTGCTTCCACAATGCTGGCAGCCTCAGTTTGCTGTAGTTCGATCCCCACAACACTCCAGCCATGCCAAAGTGCCCTGAAGGCATTAAAGGAGCAAAAAAAAAAAAAATTCCTTATCCTAGGTTACAGGAGTAATTGAGTATTTATTGTATGCATTAATTACTAAGCTGTTGTTAAATTGAATGTATAATAAGCAGATGGTAAAGCACTTTCCTAGTATGTGTGAGGCCTTGTGTTTGATATCTAGCACCTCAAAAAAAAAAAAGAATATGCAAAGGCTGCAAAATTTGTTTCATACTACCCCTTATAGACATTGAAAGCCAAATGTGGGGGCCGGGGAGATGGCTCAGTAGGATAAGCATTTGCCTGGCAAGTGCCTGAGTTCAATCCCCAGTTCTGCCCAAAAAAAGCCAAATGTGTCTTTCTAAAGTATAGTATTACTTTAATAGCCAGATGAGGTGGGATACACCTGTAATCAGCACTGTGGAGGCTGAGGCCAGAGGCTCACCGAAAGTTTAAGTCGAATCTAGCCTATGTCAAATCTGGGCTACATAGTGAGTTCAAGACCAGCCTGAATCGCATAGGAAGACCCTTTCTCAAAACACAAAACAGAGCTGGGGAGATAGCACGGTAGTCTAAGAGCCTGCTTGGCAAGCCAACCCAGTTTCAACCTCTGGTACCAAATGCTGTGCTGGCCCCAGAACCCCAGGCGTACCATGCCAGTTACTGAAACCAGACATGGTTGCACACACCTGTAATTCCAGTGCTAGGAAGGCTGAGACAGGAGGATCACTATGAGTCTGAGCTGCGTAGCAAGACCCTGTAACAAATTAATTAACTTTAAATACAAACTATATATATCATTATTATTACATTAACAGATTAAAACATTAAGAAAAATACTTTTAAGAAGCAGGTACATAGGAGCTGGGGAGATAGCTCAGGGGAATAAGTGTTTGCCTGGCTAGTACAAGGTCCTGAGTTCAATCCCTGCTACCGCAAAAGAATAAATAAAAATTAAATTAAAGAAGCAGGTACATAAAGCGTTGGAAAGAAGTATTAGTATTTTAAAGGGTTTTAGTATAATAAACTGAATTTTAGTTAAATAGAATTCTAGATGTTTTTTTCTACATAGCTTTCTGTTTAGATTAAGAAATTAGCTTGTGAGGAGGCCTGCCCCTTAGCTCAGTTCTTTAAGTGGCTGCTTCAACAAAGCAGTCAGGCTCAGGTTGCTGTGGTTCGATCCCCACAACTCAAGCTAGCCAAACCTGCCCTGAAAGCATTCGGAGAAAAAAAAAAAAGAAAGAAAGAAAGAAAGAAAGAAAGAAAGAAAGAAAGAAAGAAAGAAATTAGCTTGTAGGGGCCAGGGAGATGGCTCAGTGGAATAAGCGCTTCCCTGGCAATCCCCAGTTCTGCAAAAAATAAATAAATAAAATAAATGTTTACAAGTAACATGACTAATAGGATATTTCATTAAAATACTTTATTAGAAGAAAAAAATTCAATAAACAGATATTTAACATTGGTTGGGCCACGGAGATAACTCAATGGAATAAGTGCTTGCCTGGCAAGCTCAAGGTCCTGAGTTCAATCCCTAGTACCACAAAAAACAAAGCAAAACAAACACAAAATCATTGGTGAAATAATAGAAACATCTAACTCTTAATTTTCTGCATTAATAAGGAGTTAGAGTTGACTGTGTTCCAAAATGTGTAAGGCATTCAGACACCAGATAGCTCAGCAGATTAAAGTGCCTGCTTAGGCAGATGCAGGGACCTGAGTTCAATCCCAGGCATGCTGTGCCAGCCCTGCCCCCAGGGTGTGCTGAGAAGGTGATTGAGACTGGGCATGGTGGTGCACGCCTGTAATCTAAGCACTTGGAAGGATGAAAACAGGAGGATCACTACAAGTCCCATCTGTAGACCCTGTAGACCCTATACTAAATAAATATATAAAAAAATATATTACATTGGAGAGGATGTAATTCATGGGTTAGAATTTATAGTCTGGCCAGGTAGTTAAATAAATCTGATTGATAAATGGCTTGTAAATACATTATTTATGTAAGATGATAAAGTTTCTGTTCATGAGATTTTATGATAAATATTTGCCTTTCAGATTATTGATAAAAGCAAGAGAGACCCAACAGAAGAAATTGAAATTCTTCTTCGTTATGGACAGCATCCAAACATTATTACTCTAAAGGATGTAAGTATATTCTTCAATGAGGATCATGTCAATGAGTTGCCTAACTTGTTTGGGATATTTTCAAACATGTGGTAGACAAATACCATAGCATAGTAAATTTGACTGCTGGGGAAATGGCTGTGTTACAGAGCACTTGCCTAGCGAATGTGAAGCCCACATTCATCCCCAGTGCCACAAAAAAAGTAAATTAGAGAGCAATGTATATGGCATCATTGAATTTATAAGAAAATACGCTTAATAATAAATTTTCTACTTTAAGAGAAGTATTTTAGCATTGTTATTAATGTCTGCATTTACTGGAATATATACACATATGTATAATACTAATATTCCACATTTCTGCCAGAGAGTGCTAATATTTATATCTACTCATGTTATTTCCCTGCCTACAATTCACACTCCCCAGCCCCTCAAGACCCTACCTTCCTCTATTTTTACACTTCTATATATCCCTTATTCTCCAGCCATGCTATAGTATGCACCAATTTTTTAGCATGCCTCATTTCTTTGTGATGCTTAACTTTGAATTTACCGTTCTCTCAGGTCCGAACATTATTTCCCATCTTTTTAACCTGGCTAGTCACCCCACATTTCAAACTATGCTAGAGGACTTCTTCCTCCAAGAAGCCTTCTCTGTTCATCACCACCCCTAGGACAAGTTTTGGTATCCTTTGCTTGGCTGTCATGATACCCTGCTACCTATGTCTCCTGTAGCTTTTATTATAAAAGAGTATTGGCAGAGGACATGTATTCTCCAGGTAGCATTTTTACTACAGGAGCTCACATAGCCTCAAAGATCCTATCTGGGTGTTTTCAAAACTCTACTTTGTTCAGATTAACTTATTATTGTGCATTGTGAGAAGGTGGTTAACTTGAAGTAAAATGTGATGCTGCTCAATCTAACCCTTTAAGTGAAATAATCTCCAAGAGTTCAACCAAGAAAATTTTGTAAGAAATTTAAAAAATATATTCTCTCAAAAAAATAAATATATACCTATGAGTTTTT